AAGGGTTCAAGGCCCAAAAGATCTTGAAGAGATGAAGAAAACTTGAAGATCTAAGCTGGGTATATGAAGATTCAAAAGAGATATGATGATATTTGAGAGAGAAAAGGTGTTCACAGTTGATGATCTTGAGAGAGAAGGCTCGTCTTTATGGTCAGAAGTGAAGAAATGAAGAAGTTTTCAGCCAAACACACACACACACAGATATATATATATATATTATATATATATATATATATATTATTATATATATATATATATATATATATATATATATATATATATATATATATATATATATATAGGGGAGGGATGATGGCCCGAAGGGTTCATGACTTCGGTTCACGGCCGTGAAGGGTTTGCGGTCCCAAGGAGCTTCACGGCCGCGAAGGCTAGTTTGCCGCTGCAAGGGTCCTAAACGACTTCCCTCCAAAACACACAACACCTAATGATACTTGGTTTTTATATGTATAATTTCCTTACCCTAACAATATTAAGATAACAATGGGAATAAGTTTGACCTTTGATTGACTTATACAAGAAAGAAATTACGGGTTGTCACATCGTCCCCTTGTTAAATTGAATTTTGTCCCGCAATTAATACTAAGAAATACACCTGGACTAAGGGAAAAGATGAGGATATTAATGTTTCATTTGATCCTCACTACTAAAAAACAACCATTTAATGACGCGCAAACAATGACACTCGCTAATAAGGGACGTGCATTCGTGCGTGCCTTAAAAAATAATGTCAGTTTTTCCAAAATTTGAAAGATAGAGGACACGCATTTGTGCGTGCCCCTAAAAATAGTGTCAGAAAAGAAAAAAAAATACGGAGGGCGCCTTTGATAAGATAGGTGTTGTCTAAATGTGTCGCTTTATAATATTTTAATGAAACACACGTTTTTAAGGTGGATTTCACCCGCCTATTGAATCCCAAAAATTAAACACCCCCCCCCCCCCCCCCCCAATTAGCAAGAAAAACCGTAGGGCCTTCGTCTTCTTCTTCTTCCGATGATGTATCAGTTCGTCCGATTGGATGCATATTTACTATTAAATTTGGGGATATTCTTTTATGCATCACTACCCTCTTCTGTTTCAAGCATTCCAAGTTCATCATATAACAAGGCTTCGGTGGTTTTATTACCTAATGATCTCTTTCTAGATGTTACTCGATCTCCAGTTAATTCGTTCACCCCCTTTTCTTTAGGGTTTTCTACTCCCCACATTTCTTGTTTCACGTTAGTCTCAACAAAGTCTTTACTCATGTTACTCCATTCCCCCCCCCCCCCCCCCCCCCCCCCCCCCTTTTTCATTTCCATTTCCCTAGGGTTTGTTTGTTTGTTTGTTTTGTAATGTTTTCTGAACAAGCGTCGACGCGATTCTTGTTTGTAGGTAAGCAACCGTGAATTTGTCAGAGTGATCGGAAGAGGAAAAATAGAAGATAGAAGAGGAAGAAGAAGAAAAGCGAACAAACAGGATTTCTTGACCTGGTGTGTTAATCTGTGATCAGGTCTTCTAAGCGAAGAGAAGATCTGAGTCGGTACAAGGGTAGCTATATCATATCAGAATGAGGTTTAGATATGCATTTTACCTTCTTTCTAACTACATGTGCATTTAGACTTTAGATTGATCGTGATATTCATTTTACCTTCTTTCTTACTTTTTATTTGATGTTATTTTAGGTACAATGGCAGCTATATCGTATAAGAATGAGGTTTTTTGCCTTTTTTAAACCAATATGTAAGTTCATAATTTCCCTAACTCTTCTAAGAACGATTCCGACATTTTGGATTGTATTTTTCTTTCTTGGCTTCTTTAACTTCCCACATATTATACCAATTATGTGGACATTAGGGACTTATGTGGCAGCTAGCAAACAGTTTGAATTCACATTTTTCTTAGATCAATTTGGATCTTATGTTATGAATACATGTTTCTTAGATAAATTTGGCATCAGGGACTTATTATACAATTATTTTTTTACCCTTCAACAATTCTTGGAAAAGAAAAGGCTATAGTTGAACAGTTGATGAAGTTCTGCTTTTGAATTCTCTTGATAGCCATAACCCATTCCTAGCATCTCCATTAGATGAGTTTGAGACTTTTGCCATGGGTGGAAGTGGAACACAAGATAATTTGTGTGGACCATGTTAATAGCGAAGAGATGGATTCAAACTCAGTTGTTGCTGCAATGAAAGATGCCATGGACAGAGCCGAAGCTAAATTCAGGCACGCAAAGGAAGTAAGGGAAAGAGAACTTGCAAAAGCTTCTAGAAACAAAGAATCTATAACTGTAAAACTACAAAGAGACGATCTACATTTCCAGTAGGTAAATCCATAGAATAATGATGTTTAATTAAATTAATTTAATTAAATTAATCAGGTCTGACTGCATCTCTCTCTCTCTCCCTTTTGTGAGCATCTTGATGAACCCCAAGTGCTTGTGGGCTGTAGAACTTACTCTTGTAGAAGTACGAGATTGTTTCTTTCAATTGAGTAAGCATCTTGAAGCTATCAGTAGTCAACATTTCAATTTGTGTTGTGTTGACTTGAAGAAACCAAAAGACGAACAACAAATGACAACCCCAATTTCAGAGGTCAGGGTAAGCTCTCAACTATCCTCTTTCATCCCACCCTAACTTTTACTACTATATATGGTTAATAGACACAATTACCTCCTAGACTCAGTCAACTTATATTTACTGAAAACATCAGTAAACTTAAGGATCATTTTTACACCCTATGAAACAACTGAAGTAAAGCTTCCTTCTTTCCTACATGCAACTAGTTTTCCAAAAAAAATCTATAAAAGTATATTCAGATAGATGCTCCTTTTACATTAGACCTCTCACCATGCTTCCTGATCCTTCATTTACTATATTTTGTACACACCCTTTAGCCAAGATTCTGATTTGTATCATGAATCAGAATCTTGTTTTAGTGAGAGTGTATCAAAGTGTAAGATTCAATTCCCAAATTATGTACTTGTAGCAAGTGTAAACATATATCCTCCCTCATATGTATATTATATAGTAATCAATCATAAGTATCTATTAGTATTAACTAAACTTTTTTCAGCTAAATAATAACAATTTGGATTATGTGATATTTTCTTGATATAAGGGAAGACCAAAGATAATTAAGACACAAAAAGAAAGGAGAAGAGGTACTGGTACAAATAGTCAACTAACTTAAAAGCAATGGGAACCATGAGGCAGAGAAAATAGAGTGAGAGTGTTTTATTTAAGTAGTCTTCATTCAAACGTGTTTTTTTAAATAATTGTCAAGAGGCATTTGAAGGTGCTGACAAACTGAGGTTAGAAATAAGACAAATGAAAGCCCCTGAACAAGAATCTAAACGCAGTGACAAAGAAGGAATGATTAAACTTTGCACACTTGGAAACGTCAAAATTATTGGTGAGCTTTTGAAGCAGAAAATGGTCCCCAAAAAGATCGTGGAACACATTGTTCAGGTTTCATTTTTCATCTACTTCCATTTCTTTCTTTTATAATTTTGTACTTTCTTTGGCTATTTTTCTTATTATAGTGGATTTGACATGACAGGAGCTTTTAGGAGCAGACAATAAAATTTGTGCAAAGGAGGAAAACGTAGAAGCAATATGCCAATTCTTTAACACCATTGGCAAACAAGTAGACGAGAGCCTTAAATCAAGGCGTATTAATGATTTGTTAAGTAAACAAACTATTTTTCAATGGGAATGTCTCAGAGTCCTTCCGCCTCTTGGATGCTTTTGTTTTTGACTTTTCCTCCTTCATCTGCAGCTGTTGAAGAAGAGCAGTGGGTGATGCATGTCTGCAGAAATCAGTATCATCTACCTTTCATTTTCCTAATTCCATAACAGTTTTAGGAAGCCTTGAAATGCATTCTGTATGCCAGAATCAGTCACCCATGTGAGGAGCAGGAATTCTGCTGCTCAACTCAACCTATTTGCCAACTTTTGCAATATAGTTGGGTAATATTAGAAGCCTTGAAATGCATGCTTATGACTTCATCTAATACTCTCTCAGAGATTAGTATTGACTACACAAAGCAGCCATAAGTCGCTCTAATAGTAACCCTATTAGAGGTGATTTAGAGAATAATGGTTCTCGTGAGTGAAGTATGAGAATGATAGGATGGAATAGAAGAATACTGATGAAACCTAAAATTCGACAATCATATTTCCTATTGTTTAACTTAATTTTCATAGTGAGTATATCTTAATCTTACTTAGAGTTATAGCGGTTGGTATGCTTTCGTAGGAAGGCTCCAAACATGACATGTTGCTTGAGAAGCTTATATATGATGTATGCAACTATTACCCTACCCTTGCAGAAAGGTTAAAGGTATTTCACTAAACTAGATGGGTGCCTACCACCATATATAGTGTGACTGTGATAGTATACTAATAAAAGCTTAATACAAAAAGAAAAGAAACATGTAGCGTAGTGTAAACCAAATTTGCTACCATTATCTGATCTATTAATAGAATGTAGTAATCTTTGGTTCTTTAACATTCACATTGCTTGATTTATATGCTGTGATGTTCATCATTTCAATGCAGCCTTTCACAAGATCTAAAAGGTTTTATATATCCTTTATCCTCAGCTGTCTTGTTTGAGAGAAAGCATGCTCAGGCTTTGGGTTCAGGGTGGAGGTTGTATATTTACTTATTTAGCCTTGCTGTTAGTTATCTTTTAAGAATGATGTATAAATAAATAAATAAATAAATAAATAAATATATATATATATATATATATATATATATATATATATACATGAAGATTACTTTTCAAATCTTATTTGTTTTTTAGGGAAATGTGTTGGAGCATTTAGGTGCTATTACTACTGGCAGTTAGTTCCTAGAACCAGATGGTAATAAAGTAACAGAATCAAAACTAATTTAAGAAACTTTTTGTATTTACCCAACTTAAGTAATATTGACCAATTTTCAGGTTTATTTCCCAATCATATCCCTAACCCCGAGGAAAAGGGAGCAATGAAGGCAATTACTCAAGTTGTGCTTGATAACAAAGCCGATTTAGGGATCATCTTTGACACTGATGTTGATAGGTGATCTTCTAATATTTTATATATTATAAGTTTTCCTTTATGAATAGGATTTTGTGAAATTATGTCAATTATGGTGGGTGTGAATCAGATCTGCTGATGCGGATTCCACTGGCTGTGAGTTTAACCGGAATCGTTTGATTGCTTTGATGACTGCTATTGTTTTAGAAGAAGTAAGTTCGTAATATTACCAGAATGATTGAGATCCAAGGAAGTTGCCAAATTCTGTTTTCTCTCATTATTATATTCCAAAAGTCAGTTATATAATTACTGATTTACCGCTTGATGATTCAAGAATGTAGAGGGGCAATTACACCATTTATAGTTGTAATTTTACTAATCAATCTATTATGTCTGAATTTTTGATCATTTATAGTTGTGAACTTGACCCTCATTGATCTTCCTGGTTTGACAAAAGTAATTGTTGGTAAGTTTACACAATTACACCATTTATAATATTTTTTTCAATTTTGGTTAACTTCTGAATGAAGACTTTGACACAGTTCAACTACATGACCTGGTGATTCCAGATACAAACTTTCAGAATGAACTCAAAGGACTGATGGTGTTGGCATGTGATGTTTTTGATCTTCCCATTCGGAAGGATATTATCCACTGTGTTGTAAGATGGCAGCTTGCAAAAAGGCAATAGGTATTTTTTTCATGAATTTAGAAACTTATTCTAAAATTTTATATCTTTCTCATTGTCATAATATGAACCGTAAAACCATTTTTTTATTACTTTATCTGTAGTGGTACTTTTGGTTGTTTGACCCTCAAAGTTCTTTTTTTCTTTTTTTATTAACAATGAAATAAGGGCTAAATGCAAGAAAGAGCAATATATTTGTTTATTCATTACATAGGGAGGGATCTTATGACATTGTAACATAATAACATTGTAAAGTGGGAACACTTAAGGAGAAATTGAAGCCGTTGGAGAAGTTTTTCCTACAACGAGTCTGAATCCCACCATGTATGACATTGGGATAACCAGAATCATATATGTCTCTCCGCTCATCCATTATACTCATACCTAAGAAACATAACCAAACCTTTCTTTCTCAATCTCGGGTAGGTTTTTCTATTTTTTTTTTTATTTCTTACTGTCATATGCTTTACATTTTTATTTAGCATGTGGAGTGGTTAATTTGTTTGTGTTTGATATAGTTTGATTGTCATTATATATAATAAGTGAGTTATGGTGTTCGAATCTGAAGTTTATTATTGATACGAAATAGGGATTTCATCATTCATATACTAGACTCAAAGTTATTAAGAAAGTGAAAACTGTAGCACTTTTTTTCTTAGGTTCTGTCTTTAGACTCTAAAGTGTCTGACTATTTATCATCAATCATCAAAATTTTATGGTTTTAGGTTAAAGGATCTGAAATATTAATTTATGGTGGAGGTCCCGTTGCATATACTTCACAAGATATGAGTCTAAGTTATTTTATTATTGGTGCCTTTTGTATGTCAATTCGGCAGCTTGTCTACAAATTCTGAAATTTGTAGTAATTTTTCTCATGTTTATGGTAACAATGATGGACAACACTAAACAAATTTCATCTAGGATGTTTTTCAAATCGACTACAGGTCCTTCAACTACAAGCTTCTTATTTGTACCGATTTGCCATGTGCAGGTTCTGACAGCTCTAGCAACCTCCTTCCATGCCCTGCCGCCTCTCAAACTTCCTGCGTTCAGGTTATTCTCTTAGAAAGGAAATTGTCAAAGGAGAATTTAATCATGGGTTTCTTTTAATGTTGTACATGTTTTGTTTTCTATAATAAATATTATGCAATATTAGCAATGTGTTACGTTTACTTACTATTGGAATGATTATTTGTATTTGAAGTAGTCCAATGAATTATCTTTATTGTTTAGGGTAGTTTATTTTGTATTATGAGACTTTTAATGTGTTATTTAATTTGAAAATTAGTAAATCTATCAAAATTATATAATTTTAACAACATTTAAAATTATGACACGCCAAAATGTGTATCGTGTTTCTTTATCACAGGGGCTTCCTTGGTACACATTGGCTGTCATAAACACGCGCGTCGTAATACACGCAAATGTGTGTCGTATTCCTTTATGACAGGGCCTTCCTTGATACGTATTGCATGTCATAACTGCGCATCGAAAATGCGTGTCATAAATGTGCGTCGAAAATGCGCGTCGTAAATAGATGACGCGCAAAAGCGTGTCGTCTCGCGTTATGGCAGGGCCTTCCTTGACACGCATTTCTGTGTCGTCTGAGCGTTTTACAACAAACATTGCGTATTGTAAAACATTGTTTTTCTAGTAGTGCCTCCCGCTCCCAAGTGAATTCAGGTCCCCGCTTTGCATTCTAGGGAACCTTCACTATTAGAATACTACCTTGTTTGGTTTTCTTGACTTCCCTATCCATGATTTCTATCGTTTTTCCATGAAGTTGAGGCTCTCATTGATCTCGGTTTCCTCAAGGGGAATAAGAAAAGTCTAGTTAGATGGGCATTTCTTTAAGTTCAATACGTGGAATGGAGGGTGTACGTTGCTAAGTTCTTGAGCTAGACAGAGTTTGTAAGCTACAGGGCCGATCCTAGCAAAAATCTTGAAAGGCCCAATGTACCTTGGATTCAATTTGCCACACTTTCTGAAACATATTATGCCGTTCCAGGGTGAGACCTTCAATAGAACACGGTCGCCAACCTGGAATTCCAAGGGTTTTCGTCGTATATCTGCGTAGCTTTTCATTTTGTCTCACGAGGCTTTAAGTCTCTCCCTAATTTGCACGATCTTCTATATAGTCCCTTGGATGATTTTTGGACCGGTGAGAGTGTTTCCAGGGACTTGCCTTTTAGCTAACTGAGTATCACCCACTTCAGCCCAACACAGAGGGCTTCGTATGAAGCAGCCTTTATGCTAGAGTGATACTCGTTATTGTAGGAGAACTAGAAAAAGGGTAAATGAGTATCCCATGCCTTTCGAAAATCTATCACACAGACTTGCAACATATCTTCTAAAGTTTGAATAGTCCTCTCACTTTGACCGTCAGTTTGTGGATGGTAGGCTGTAATCATATCCAACCTAGTTCCTAGTGCCTTTTGTACTGACTGCCAAAACCTCGAGGTGAATCTACTATCTCTATCATAGATAATAGATATGGGCACACTATGCAGTCGCATTATCTCTCTTAGGTACGTTGTAACATCCGGATTTTTACCAGGTATCTTGTAAATTTAATTTTGTGGTATTGTGAGGGGGGCTCGGCGAGTTGGAGCTCAGACTCGCCGAGTAGGGACGCAGATTTGGACAATGGAGCGCGCCTGGACTCGGCGAGTCCAGGATATGGACTCGGCGAGTCTGCGCTGTGCAATGAAACCCTAAATTTCCAGGTTTGAGGCCTATTTAAAGGGCCTTATGGCCGTCATTTGTGCTCACCCAACCCTCAGTGAGAGACCCTTGTGTTCTTGAGCGATTTGTGAAGAGAAAGGAGCATTTCTTGACCTTGTGTGTGTTATTTAGCAAGAAGAAGGAGACTCTAGGCAAGAGGAAGCAAAGGAGGTTGCTATTTCGTGGATTTGGAGCTTAGATCATCACTCTAGAGGTATGATCTCGGACTATTTTCTGTTTGGTGAAGCATTATGCAATTTAGGGCTTATGATGGTCATTTATGGGATGATTTGGTGCCCATTGGTTCCCTCCTTGAGTTGAGGTTATGGATCTGGACCCATAGAGGTCCAGAGAGCCTCACTCATCAAGCTTTATGTATGACAATGGAGTCCATGACCTTGTGTTGTAGTAAATGAGTCAAAAACATCATATATGGTCATATAGAGGTTGTATGTGCATCAAGATTGTAACTTTACGTGCTAAATGAGCTTGGAGGGACTGGATCTATGGATTAATGGACTGGATCTGACCTTTAGAGCAAGATTGAGTCAGTGCATGGCACGGACTCGCCGAGTCCGAAGAACAGACTCGGCGAGTAGCATGAATGTTGCCCGACCACACAGTGAGTGGCCTCGCCGAGTTGGGGAGGGTGGACTCAGTGAGTCAAGGGGGAGTCAGAATGGACAGGTGGACTGAGTCAAACTGGACTCGCCGAGTTGTTCTTGAGACTCGGCGAGTTGAGTCGTGGTGGCCCCACAACTCGTGCCAGGTGGAACTCGTCGAGTTGAGTGAATGCTCGACGTGTCAAGGGAGGATTCCAGGGAAATTGGGTATACGCTCAGACTCGCCGAGTCGCTATAGCGCACTCGCCGAGTCCGGTCAAAGTTGACCGTTGACCGTTGACCAGCGTTGACCTGGATTGACTTGTTATAGTATGGTCAACCTAGTTGGGAAAGTGTTAATTAGAGATGTATTGTGCTATAGGGGACTACAGCTCGGCAGATCGAGTGATTAGCGATTTCAGGTTTACGATTTACCGAGACACGCGAGGTGAGTCTTCTCACTATACTTTACCTTGAGTAGGTAACCAGAGTTATGTGATAGAGTATTTGTATGCTATGTATGTTGTGTGTTGTACTGCATGATTTCTATGTGATTTATGTGGTGCATGTTTATCAGAGCTAGAACCTGAGGGTTCACAGAGTTTGGGTGCACGGACCCACAGAGTTATAGCCTAGAGTGGCTAATATGTGTTATATGTGGTATTTTGGGGAACTCACTAAGCCTTGTGCTTACAGTGTTGATGTTATTTGTTTCAGGTACTAGTGACGACCGCGGGAAGGCGCCGGCTTGATCCGTATACACACACGTTCGGAGCTTGATATTATGATCTTGGGATTTTGTACTGTTTTGTTGGATAATTAAAATGGTTGTTTTTATGAATATCGATGGAATTATGTTTTATAAAAATTGAAAATTTTGTTTGAAATTTTCGGTGTTACAAATTGGTATCAGAGCCTTGGTTTGAGGGATTCGGGTACACCTTCGGGGGTATTTGAACTCAAACTGAGGAATTGAAGAGATATTTCAAAATAAAACCAAAATTTTCTAAGAGTAAAAGATTTTCCAGGAAGAAACGTGTGTACGATCAGCCAGCGCCCGAACGGTGAATTCCCAAAATACCTTTATATTATGTGATAATTATTATTAATGTGATGTGTTTGCATGCTAGAGTAGGCTAGGTATTGCTAATAGGACTAGAGTGGCCTGTTTTGTGATGCCTTAGCCTAGGGAGGGGTGAGCTGCTATGAGATGCTGAGAGTAATTAGGTAGCAGCTAGGGCTTTGTGTGAGATCTATTTCAAAGTGATTTAAGTATAATAGAGTACTTGGGGATTGGGATCCGAAGAGGAAGATTTGGGGTGTGTACTGAGACGGTGCGGACAGTAGTATTGGGCCCGTACTACTGAAAGCACCGGTGCGGTACACAGTCCAAATAAGAATCTTGGGATGCCAAGAATCAAGGAGGGGTGGATTGTCGAATGTAAGAGTGTTCGAGTGAATTCTAATTATCGCATGTTGTATTTCAGAGGTTGATCATGGTGAGGACACGTCATATGCCAGAGGATGCCGGAGCTAGTGATGAGGAGATTCGACAGATCATTCATGAGGAGGTGGCTGCGGTCATCAGAGCTGAGATACCAGAGATGTTCGGGTCTATTAAGACCGCGTTGATTGAGACATTTGACGAGCGCTATGCCGCTCTTTCTGAGGCTGCGG